CACACACACACACACACACACACACACACACACACACAAACACACACACACGTGCACACGCACACTTCTTATCACTCTTTCTATCGGGTAGAAACATGACTTTGTATTAAACTGTGTCTCATCAGAGCTGCATGGCGTTTTCTTACCTCGTTTTCTGGTATAAAGAGAATGGCTTTGTTGTTTTAAACTATTAAATTATTATAGTTTTAAAAAAAGAGTTAGAGCTGAGTCTCTTTTAAGGTTCTGTTGCTTTTGTATTTTACATTTGTGTTACAAAATGTGATTTTATTTTTGTCTCTGACCTCACTGCTGTGGTTTCCTCTTCCGTTTGTTTATTTTTTTTTGTTAAGTCGTCATTTAGATCAGATATGCTCAAAAGGATTTATGATTTAAATATTTTTTTATTGATAAAGAGCTGCAGGCTAAACCACACATGTATTTAAAATATATAGTAGTTTGTGTACAGTATTTGTAAAGATAATCCTTTCACTATATAATTTATTAAATAAAGTGGAGTATATTAAATTTATCTCTAATACACTAACCAGACTTGGTGTTTGTAGCCACATAATTTATGAAATGTCATAAATTAAACCTGATATATAAATTACAGAAACATTATCGGACAAAGGGGTGAGGGTAGGGGCGGAGCCAGAGGGGTGGCCGGGGTGGCAAGGGCTACTCTTGGCTCCTGATTGGCCACCCCAAGTAGCATGATTGACAACTGGGGGCGGGGATTGCATGCGGCAAAATAGGATGGTTAGTTAGAGCTAAAACAAAGTAAATATCTGTTAAGAAGCTGTATTATCTAGTGTAGAGGGAACCATCAATGTGTGAAGAAAGAAATGACTTCAAAACCCACTGAATTAATACAAAGCAACAATTCCACCACACCAAATTTCAGCTCAATTAGTCTTAATTATAGCCATTTAAACTTAGCTGTAGTGGTCATCTTAAATGTTCAAATCCAGAGTAGTTTTCTTTATTTATATGTGCCCCCCAGAGAACACCTTGGCCACCCCCCGTGCCACACCTCGCAAAAACATCTAGCTCCGGCCCTGGGTGAGGGTGACTGGAGTGGACTTAAAAAGGTTAATCTTACTCTTCAGTCAGCAGTGAGGAAAGGAGGGAACTTTTTAGACTTCCAATGTATAAACAATGTATCTATAAAAACAATATTAAAAAGGAGATTTATAAAATAAAACACAAACTATTATAAAGTAGATGCTTTAATTGGAGTTAAACATTTTCAAAGCAGACATTCTTGTGTTTTAAGAGCTGGAAAGATCATCATATTGTCGTGAACACAGAAAAGATAAATCAGGGTTTAACTCAACTTCCTGGAAAGTGGAATTCATGATGTGGACAAGTTAATGAAGGAAACATCACATGGTAAACTTCCAGTGATTCAGACTGTCACCTGAAAAGTGCTCGTGCATCATTTGACTGGGTGATGATGAATAAACCAAAACTCAGTTCTGTGTTCTCTTCCTCTTTTCATCAATAATCCAGACCTTTGAAATTAAAAAAAGCATCCAAGTTTATGTGTTTTACCCTGATGAAGGTCATCGGATTAATACTGGATGCTATTTTCACTTCGTTAGACCTGGGAGTCATTTTTATGGTTTTAAATCAAAACAGAAGTCGTCTTTAAACTAGATTTTGGTCTTAATACAATTTTAAAAATTACAAAAGCAGATATTCATCAAACTGCTTGTGGCCTACAGCAAAACAAAACAAACCAAACGTGTGTATCACATTCATCAGTTATTTCCCAATAACTTGTTGAGTCATCCAGTGAGTAAAAGAGAAATTTCCCTTTTGGTGCAGAAGCACCAAACAACTTTTTCGTGGCCTCAAGTGGTTGTTGCTTATCAAAAGGTTCTTTGTTCCTCTTAAGTTTTATCAAAGWTTCTGTAATAACCACACAGAGTGGTTTCCAGAACACTTTAAAAGGAAAGTGGGGGCGACATCAGAAACCAACGTTTAAATATTATACATTATATTATATATTCAAATATTTCAGCATGAGTTGCACAACTTCAACAGTCAATTAATTCAGTATTTATGGATTTTTAATCAGACATAAAGGTTTTAGTTTCCTTTTTCTTTACAAAACAAGATGAAASCTGTCATGAACTCATGTTTGTTGCTTTGTTGTTCCTATAGTTACTGGACTACTTTTGGTTTTACTTTTCGTTTAAGAGGAAAATAAACGTATTTATTTCCTGGGATTTGTATGTTTGACACGATTCGCTGAAACCTCTCTGACGTCATTACGTTGAATAAGCCCCGCCCTACCTCTGTATAAATGGCTCCGGTGCTGTACGTCACTGCTGAATCGTCCAGGTTTCTCTTTGCCTTCCTATCGGCATAATTAAGTTGCAAACTTTTCGCCGGCGAAACGGTAAGTTTTCTTTTTATTTTCCATTATATCATTAACAGGTGTTATCATTTAAACGTCCAATAAAATACTTTTAATTCATTATTTCGTCACGAACCTTTAATTCACCAGTTCAGTTCGACAAGGAAATAATAAACCTAAGTTTTCTTTAATTCGTAGTTATTATTAATTTACTGTTTTATCTGTTTAGTATCAGTAGTTTTTGTAGTTTAGTTTATGTTATGTAAAGGTGACCGTAATCACCTTTGCTGTGAGTTTTGAGGAAACCGTTCAGTCATAAAACCAGTCAAACCAGTCTGAACATGAACCCGAATCAGCTGTTTACAGTAAAAGGTCAAAAATTACCTCTAAACTGAAAACATACACTAATGTCTCATTCAAAACAAGTATATGGAAGCCAGGATGTTGTTTTTTTAATTATCTTTTTACCTTTTGTGTCAAATGTACTGTAGGTGTGGTACAGTGTTTTATGAATGATTAATCTAGTTTTTAATCTCACAGATTAGGGTCTGCAATAATTTATTTATCAAGTAGTGTTACTCAGAAAAGAGAAACCAATTAATACTGTACCTACAATTATTTTAATAGAAGTCTTTGAAGTTATTGAACAGAAAATTATAATTTCACAGTTTAAATACACATTTTGGCCTCAAATGTGCTGTTTTGCTTCTTTTCTCTGTTTCGTACTTTTTAATAATAAAACCATAACTATTAAATGATAAGTCAGTGAAAATGATATTTGTTAGTAGGGCTGTGTATTGGAAATAATTTAGCGATACGATACATATCATGACAGAGGGGTCACGATACGATATATCCCGATAT